TTCTATTGCCAAACCTCAAAATAGACACACACCGGAGGAATTTCGTTGCGTGTCTTTTCTGTAAAATTGCGAGCGAAATAATAAATGCAAAAATTAGAAATAATTATCGTCCATAGGAGTGAAAGAAATAGTGTTATGGAAGAAAATGAGCCAAAGATGACAGTCGATGAACTAATTGTATAAAAATTCATTAATTGAACAATATAAGGATATATTTCGCTTATGGCTAAATTTTGGTAATTGATCGATTTCCATGAGTCGCTCAGAAACAAGAGATTGTTTATTTAATTTATTATATTTCTCGATTTATAGAGAACTGATGACTATGGAGTGATCTACCCGTGTTCGACATTTTCTTCTTTGTTTTACTCATCTTGAACAGGTAATTGAACATGCTTTGTTTGAATATTAAAATTTAAATTATTCGTTATTTTTTTGGTAGTTTTTCATTGCGATGAAATCTCACCTGAAGTACTTTGCGGACAAAATCCTGCAACAACTCGGTCAATTATCATAGCAACATCTTCTAAAGTTGTTTCTAGTGATTGCCCAGCTGTTGATATTCTTTTCATGATAGCTCCGATAGGCCTACGAGCGACACTAATCCCTACGATTATCACGCCTTTGTTTTTCAATTTCTCTGCTTCCATTATGGTGATAGATGTTATATTCAGTTTACCATTTGGCTCGCCATCAGTGAGTATAACTATGACGTCATCTAAATCAGGTCTATGATTGTGCGGATTTCGTTTTTTAAAAATCTAAAATATTGGATGAAAAATAATTGTGGTGTGAGATATCTACACAAGCATTGTCCTTTACGAAAAGCACCGCTAACCAAGCAAGCAATACTTAACCCTATTTGTACCGGGGGTTTTCATGTTGATATGACCGGGGGTGCGCTGATAGGGCGCACCCCTCAGAAATTCTGTCGATTAACTGCCATTATCCTATAAATTTTTTTTTTAGTAAGTTTTATCTTTCTTTAACCTAAAAATAAAAAAATGTTAAATCCACATCCAAAATGCTGTTTTTTGGCCGCATTGCATATGACCGCCTATCCGAAAATGGCGAATATAGCTAATATTTTACCCATTTTGGTTATATTCTGTAAAGAGATAACAAAACATTTTGGATGTGATATTTTTTGGGTCTTCTACATTCAAAAGAGATACTTTTCTGTTATAGCATATCTCAGATGTCCATAAACACCACTATTTTACTTTCCAAGTTGGCATTTCTGTGCCATATGAAAAGACATACAATCGAAACTTACCAGTCTCTCATACAAACAATCCAAATTATTCTCAATTTTCAACATCACTGATTTTACCTTCATATCATTGTGACAGTGTCATTGTTGTATAAATAATGTTCCATTATTCTCTTAGTATTCACAATTGTGCATTCTGTTGAAACTCTAGCACTTTTTTGGCATAACTTCTGTAGTGTAAACATAAAATGTCGACCAACAAAAGTTTGTCGAAAAAAGATGAATTGGCAGCCATGTTTTATACCAATATCCTATGTGTTACAAGAAGTGTAAGGCAGGTGAGCTACGAGATAGGAGCCTGCAGTATAGCTTTAAAAACACAATATTTACTTTGAAAATCGTGGCAATCATTCTGGATTTTATGCAAAAGTTTTACTTTTTTTTGGAACTGAATTTCTGGTACGAAAGTGTTCAATATATAATGCATCCTACAAGTTTGATTCTTGCTGAAAGACAGGGAGATGTTATGCCTTGATCATCATCTAGACACTTTTCAAGAGAACAATCCAGAAATGGTAGAACATTTACGAGAATCCCTGTATTTTTGATGATCTGGTGTCGGGTGCGCAGAATGATGAAAATGCATTCCAAATTTACGAAGAATCCAAAGAAATAATGTCAACCGGCGGATTCAACTTACGAAAGTGGCATTCAAATTCGAGTAGTTTAATGAATTCTATCAATGCCTTAGAGGATAAGGTCGTTTCAAGCTCTACAGACAACCAACCTGGCGTTATCGAGAGGGATTTATTGTATGCGAAAGAATCGATAGCACAAGAATCTGCACCAACAAATAAAACACAAATTAAAGTTCTGGGGAAAATTTGGAACACTGATACAGATATATTGTTATTCAATTTCGAGGAATTAATCGAGTACGCTAAATCGTTACCAATGCCAAAACGTTCGTTTCTAAAGTGGTCCTCGAAGATTTTCGATCCATTAGGTTTCTTAACGCCATTCACAATTAAATTGAAAATGCTATTTCAAGAATTGTGTTTAGCTAAGACAAGCTGGGATGAGAAAGTGGACGAGAAGATGTGCGCAACAATAAACAATCTTAGATCAGAGTTAGCATTCTTAAACGAAGTTCCAATACCGAGATGTTATTTCCTCCCAAACCTCAAACCAGTAGTGGTACAGATTCATGGTTTTAGCGACGCTCCAGAAAGCGCATTTGCTGATGTTATCTATTTGAAAACTCTTTACGAGAATGGAAATATTGACGTTAATTTAATGGCATCCAAGGTTAAAGTGGCTCCCACCAAGAAACAAAACATACCGCGATTCGAACTATTGGGAGCAACATTTTGAAGGCTCTTTCGTTGAATGCTCAAGAGTTCTACTGGGTTGATTCAACTGCAACACTTTGTTGGATAAGAAACAAACGTTTATGGAAACAGTACTTACAGAATCGTGTTACTGAAATGAGAAAATTGTCCTCACCAAAAATGTGGCATTTTTGTCCCGGTATACTCAATCCTGCCAATTTGCCGTGACGAGGAATCTCCGCTAAAGCTTTCTGTCAAGAAAGATTATGGTTAAAGGGTCCTGATTTTTTGTTCCAATCGGAAGACCAGTGGCCGACCAATTCCGAGAAAGGTACGATTGATAACGACGACAACGTTTTATGCGAAGCGGTAAATGGCGCAACGGACGTAGTACGCTCGCTTCCAGCTAATACCAGTGAGGAATCAAAGGTGATTTGCCCAAATATCAGTGAAGTTATCGATATCGACCGTTTTGGTAATCTGAAGAAGTTATTACGAGTAACAGCTTCCTTTTTGAGATTCGTCAACGCGTTAAAGAAAGCGAAGCAACATGATAAAGGATCGAGAGATTTGCAATTTCTGTCAGCGTCAGAAATCGAACAGGCCAAAATTATATGGTTGTGTTCTGTTCAAGAATTGTCGTTTACGAAAGAATCGGACTTTCTGCAACGGAATGTTCCGAAATACCGCCACAATATCTAACACAATTCGGGTTGTACACGGATGAAAATCACGTTATACGATGTAAGGGTCGACTCAACAATTCTTCCTTAGGCTTGGGAAGCCGACATCCAATTCTACTTCCTTCTAAACATCGTGTTGTGGAATTGTTAATCCGAGAGGCTCATGAACAAGTAAAGCATAATGGTATACGAGACACTTTGACTGCAGCACGCGAACGATTTTGGGCCATAAGGGGGAGAGAAGCGGTAAATAGAATAATTAAGGATTGCGTCGTGTGTCGTAAAGCGGAAGGACTGCCAAATAATTATGGACAAGCCCCAGATCTTCCTTCCTCTAGGGTATCAGACGATCCACCATTCACAAACGTGGGCCTAGCTTTTGCTGGGCCATTGTATGTACAAGATAAGAAGAACGAACTTGACGAGAATTCAAACAAATTAAAGTTTACGTTCTGTTGTCCACCTGTGCGTCAACTAGAGCGGTCCATTTAGAAATTACGCCATCCTTAACTGTGAAATCATTTTTGAGTGCATTTAGGAGGTTTACAAGTCGAAGGGGATCACCGGCGCTTCTTCTATCAGATAATGCAAAAACATTTAAAGCTGCTTGTAAGGAAATCCGTCGATTGTGTCGAGCTGAGGAGGTGTGGCGTTATCTGGTCGACAAGAAAATATCGTGGAAAATTATATATCGTCGCGAAAGCTTCGTGGTGGGGCGGATTTTGGGAGAAACTCGTAAGAAGTATCAAGCGGTCACTAAAGAAAGTAATTGGAAGAACAAGCCTTAGTTTCGACGAACTTCGAACTTTTATTGTGGAAATCAAGGGCTTATTGAATGCACGTCCCATAACCTACGTCTATGATGACACCGAAGCTATCTCGTGTGCACTCGCACCGTCGCATCTAGTCTATGGACGGCGAATTACTACATCTCCAAATACCCAAACTATGAAGTGGTTAGTACCCATAAGTCATTAACTAGGAGACTTCGGCATCACAAACAATTACTCAAGCGATTTGCGAAACAATAGAGAAACGAATATTTGTTGTCATTACGCGAACATTCGTATCCAAAACCGACAAACAACCGGGAGTCAGGCATCGCAGTTGGAGATATAGTTATCGTTGGAAATGAAAAATCGAATCAAAACTTTTGGCGCAGCGACGATCAGAATACGTTGAGAAAATTGAAGCCATTCCCAATTATTGCATCGTTCAATAAAGCATCTGATCCCGATAGAAGTACGACAGTTGCCAGACGATCAGGAAGTAGCAGAGCAAGGAGAAAATAAGGAAATACTACCTCAATCAACACGGCCTCAAAGAGATGCTGCCATAACTGGACAACTTAGGCGGTTGAAACAATCAGGCGTTTTGTAAATAAAGAACAAGTATGACAATGACACTGAAAAGTTATTTATATTAAATAGGGATTAGTTGACAACATATTTGTCAACCCTGGGGAGTGTGAGAAACATTTGATATTAAGGGAAAATGACGACATAACTTCACCGGAAGGGAACATGTTTGGTTGACAGTTTAAGAATTTTGCATAAAGCATGCGTTTTATGTATAATGAAAATAATATAGGTTGAAGATTAATACAAATCATAGCAAAACGAGCACAAAGTTTACGAAAGTTTATAATAAGATCCGTAGTATATATATATTTTGACACGAAGCCCATAATTTCTGCCGAAAGCGAACGAAAACCTGATGTGAATTATTCCTGTTCTTCGGGAAGCAAGCCAACGCTGCCGTGTTGTGCTACAAATGAAAATTGGCACGACCGGTGGCGGAAGGCAACGGAAACATGCTGAAATCTTGGTAACTCGAGCATTTAAATTCTTGAAGTATTACTGTGGGCAATCGGGCGAGGAAGAAGAAAACCTGTCGTCGAATGTCAGACTTGTTGATTACCTTCTGTGTTCTTCCAAATTTCTAACAGATTTTCTTGATCACCTCGAAAGCACCCGGCAAATGGGTCAATCTGGTCGACTCGGCTACGTAAACAGTATCGCTGATCTCTTAGATTTCCGTCGATTCCATACACCTTCAGGGCCCGTACTTCAAAATTTTTCCATTACCGAAGCATACATAAAACGAGCAAGACAATGCTTAGCAAAGCAGATGCGTTCTCACTGGACGACGGACTTGGATATTGCAAGCCTCGAATCGAGAAGAAGTTGAGCTACGCTTGTTGAACTTCATACAGTAATCCCCTTTCATTTACAACGCCACAAAACAATTCTAGAAGAGTGCAGGAAAAAAAACTTTTGTCACTTCAACCGACTTGACTTTTGCTACAAGATTTGTTGCCGTCTTCATGTTTGTCAGAGTGAAAGGATGCCAACCGATGACCTACCAGCATTTGACAGCCGTATGTTTGAAAGCGCAAAAATTCAACCATTTTTAAAACGGCGATCAAACCATTTTTAAAACGGCGCAAAGATACGGGTTTAATTCTCTTTACTTCGACGAGATCAGCTTGGAGATTGTCAATGATTAGGCCTACGTTCATACGTGAGACCCCTTCTGAAACCACAATCTGAATATTTGCTTTTAAATCAAAGCGGTAGTCAATTTCAGAAGCTCACTGAGTTACTTAGCGTTCTTGTGTTTGAAGTGATTGGCAAGTACATTCACCCGACGAGGTACAGGCAGATTATCGAAACGGAGAGCGTAAACAATTTAGATTTGGAAGAACAACAATTGGCATCCGAAGACCAAAAACATAGCTCAAACGTGGCTAGAGTTCACTATCAGAAGCTGCGGTCTCGGGAAGCATCGTTAAATGGAAGATCATGCATGGAAAAACTGCGCGGCGACCATGGCAGAGCAATGGACACTTGCGTACAGCAATTAAGACAGCAAGTGTTATGTATTCAGTTAATTGTTAGAGATCAGCGTTGCATGCGATTAAAGATGGCGCCCGTATGAAATATACAACATGGTGTCAGGAAACGGGATTTGTTTTAGTTTTAAGGAATAAAAATCGAATTGAGTGAACAAAAGCAACAAAAATGGCAGAAGGATACCCAAGCACTTATAATTGGCCCGCCATGAACTGGCAAGCGAAAGATCTCGACAAAGAATAGGAGCGATTTTATCAGCATTGTGAATTCGCTTTTGGAGGCCCGTTACGCAAGTGCACAGAGAAGGAAAAGATTTGCAATCTCATGAGTTTTGTGGGAGACAAAGGCCGCGAAATGCACCTTACGTTTCAATGGAACACAATTCACGTTGAAACGGGCGTAAATACCCAACAAGCAAGTGAGAAAGATATTATTGATAAAGTTGCTGCAAAGTTCAAAGAACAAATAGCATCGAAGAAAAATCCTATTATGGCAGCAGTTCAATTTGACAGGAGGTGCCAAAAACAAGGAGAAACATTTGACGATTTTCTAACCGACCTGAAATTATTCGCTCGTGGCTTAGACATTGAGGAAACAGTCAAACTAATAAGAAATGCTATAACATGCAAATCTTTTTACGAAAGGGTAAAACAACGGTGTTTGGAAAAGAGTAAAAACTTAACATTAGAAACAGCCATAAATATAGGGAGATTATTTGAAGCTACCAAAGATGAAATGCAAGTAATCACAGGGGAAGATCCAAACGTGACGGTGCATGGAGTATCAACAGACGCAAGCACCAAATCAGGTCAAATACACCTAGATCCACGGAAAAAGAGTCTACGACCCCCATCGAAGTATCAAAGATGTGGTTAAAATAGTCACAAACCACAAAAAAAATGTCCAGCCAAGAACCAAACCTGCCGCAAGTGTGGAAAGATGGGACACTTTGGTAGAGTGTGTAGAGGAGCAGAAAAGAAAATACATGCCATGGGTAAAGATTCCTACTCTAGTGAAGAAACGGACAGTTCTGATGATGAATACCAGCAAGCCAAAAATTTGCATTTACTGCACCTCAAGAGCCTGAGGATCCATGAGGTTGGTAATGAAAACGACATGCCGAGAGATAACAAGTGGTGGGAAACTGTTCAAGTCGGCCATGGGAAATTGCAATGCCAACTGGATACCGGTGCACAGGCTAGTGTCATGACCGCTAAGCAGTTACAAAGTGTTGCTCCCGATGTAGGGATTAAGAAAACGCACAAGAGACTTTTGTCATATAGCCAACACCAGATTGTGCCCAGAAGATGCACCACACCAAAAGTGAAAAACAAGGAAAAAGAGATTTAGGTGAAATTCTTCATCATTGACAAGGCACATAATCCAATCATATCTGGAAAAGTGCGCAAAGCCTTAAACCTAAATTCAACGTTGTTTCAACGTCGAAACAGTAACGTCGATCCAATGTGCATAGTCAACCCTTTTTCAACGTCTATCCAACGTCTGGAAGGTCATTTCC